GCTGGATCAACACGTCAACCGGGATGACCCTAGCCAGAGTTTCTCCAGAACTGGATGCACTACAAGCCAAACGATCGGCATCTTCATTATACTCCCTCGATAATTGAATGAACCTGATCTGATCAAAGTCTTTCACCTCACGTAGAACCGCGGTTTGGTATGCTTCCATGGTCTCGTCTTTGGTTCCGTATTCCCCAGTGACTTGCCGAACGATTAGCTGTGAATCGATATACGCAATTAGATTCTTGATCTTCAGCTCTTTAGCCAACTTTAGCCCAGCTAATAATGCCTCGTATTCAGCCTCGTTGTTGGTTGCGTTAAACTCAAGTTTGATCACTTGGCTCAGCGTGGTGCCCTCTGGTGTTTGCAATTGGATTCTAATCCCTGCCCTCATTTGATTTGAAGAGCCATCTACAAAGAGCTTCCATAAGGAACAACTATAATCTTCCACCAAGTCTTCAACATCACATTCAAGTAGGAAATCAGCCACTGCTTGACCTTTGACTGCCGTTCTGGGTTCATATGTAATATCAAACGAGCTCAACTCAATGACCCATTTTGTCATTCTTCCTGATAGGTCTCGATTGTGTAAGATCACCCTTATAGGAAATGTTGTTAAGACGACAATCGGATGGGATTTGAAATAATGTCTGAGCTTCCTTTTTGCGTTGACCAATGACAAGATCATCCGTTCGGCCTTTGAGTACCTTCTTTCTGGCTCGGCCATTGTTTTGCTGACATAAAACACTGGGAATTGCTTTCCGTTTTTGCTACGGATCAGAACGGCACTAGTCGCGATGCTGGATACCCCAAGATACAGAAAAAGCTTCTCATTTGGCTTAGGAACAGATAGAACCGGAGGGTTACGCATGTAATCTTTCAGGCTGGTCAGTGCCTGTCGTTGCTCATCCCCCCAAGCTTGCCTTCCATGGCCTCGAATTGTATCAAAGAATGGTTTACAACGGTCTGAGAGCTTAGAAATGAATCGGCTTAGTGCAGCTATTTGACCTGTGAGTGCCTGCATTTCCTTAATTGTCTTTGGTTTTGCATTTCTGATCAGAGCTTCTGCCTGGGCTGGGCTAGCTTCAATTCTTCTATGATTGACCACATGTACCAAGAATTGACCAGTGCTTACGTCGAATGAACATTTGGCCGGATTAAGCTTCATCCCGTACTTCCTCAACATATCGAACACATCCTGTAGGTGCGCTAAGTGATCATCCTTCTTCTTACTCTTGACCGCCATATCACCAATGTAAGCCTCTACAGTTCTCCCTATTTGGTTTTTGAAAATCTTGTTGATCAGCCTCTGATAAGTAGCTCCAACATTCTTTAATCCGAACGACATGACTTTGTAGCAGTAGGTCCCTCGTTTAGTAACAAAAGAAGTTTTCTCTTCATCAATTGGGTCCATGGGGATTTGATTATAACCAGAATAAGCATCTAGGAAGGTTAATCGCTCGTACCACGTTGTGGTATCCACCATTTGATCAATCCTTGGCAATGGAAAGCTATCCTTTGGGTAAGCTTTGTTCAGATTAGTGAAGTCAATACATACTCTCCATTTCCCATTCTTTTTCTGCACAACGACGACATTGGAGAGCTAGGCCGGGTACTGAAATTCTCTAATGAATCCTGCCTCGAGCAACCAATCAATCTCCTCAGCTATGATCCGATTTTGTTCTAGTGCAAATCTTCTCTGTTTCTGCTTCACAGGTTTTGCGTTCGGATCCACATTGAGGGAATGACAGGACACAGAAGGACTAATCCCTAGCATATCTGAATGGCTCCATGCGAATACATCTGCATTCCGAGTCAAGAAGTTAATCAACCCTAGTTTTTCCTCTTCAGTAAGTCTGGATCCCACCTTCGTTGTTCGATCCGGTTTCTTATGGTCGATCTGCACATCAAGAAGAGGTTCTGCGGTCAGAACTGGCGGCTCCTCCGCCCCACCTTTGCTGGGTGGAGGCTTCTGTAATTGCTATCTTGGACTGGCAGAACGGATGGGATTTTTCCCTTTTCCAGCATATTTCAAAGTCACTGAATAACATTCTTTAGCTGTAACCTAGTCCCCATGAATGTCAATCACCTTGGTCCCATCTGGACCCAAGCATCACATCACTTGATGTAGGGTTGATGGGACACCTTGAACTCTGTGAATCCACCCTCTTCCCATCAAGAGGTTGTAGGATGGATGAATTTCCACGACCACAAAACTCTCAGTCAAAACTCTCTCAGCAGCTTATACTGTGAATTCCACTATTCCAATGGGCTTCACCCGATTCCCATCAAATCCTAGCAATGGATTTCCTGTGGGTTTAAGTTTCTCAGGTTCAATCTCAAGCCGGTCGAACGTCACTCTGGGCATGACATTTGCACTACTTTTTGGATCAATCAGAACTCTTCGTACCAGGCATTCTGCAACTGTTAGACTGACGACCAATGGATCTTAATGAGGAACCTGAACGCGTAGCAGGTCTGTTCTATCAAACTTTATCTGTGCGGATGCATTCTGCTGGTGCAAAGCATGTACGCTGCCAATCATTCTCTTCAACTAGGCCTGGTGTAATCGCGTTCTGAGCAACTCCTCTGACTCCGTTGTTTATTCAGGTCGGCCATGAATTGCATTTATAATCCGAACGGGCTGAGTGCTGTGGTGGTTTGGCCTTTGATTTCTCTTGATCTATTCAGTCGGTCGGTTCTGCTCTTGCGCTGGACCTTGAACATAGCCTGCAAATTCCCCTTTTGCTATCAACATCTCCACTTGCCTCCTTAGGTTCCTGCATTCGTTAGTCTGATGTCCAAAATCACTATGGAAAGCACAATGTTTAGTTTGATCTCTCTGTTCAAGAGGTTGTTTGATTGGTAAAGGAGGGCGAAACTTATCTTTGTTCTCTTGATACAGCCTTGCCAAGGTGACTCTGAGTGGAGTAACTAACTCCTCCTCCCTGGACCTTTTCTCTGCCTTCCAGGAGGTCTGACGTTGCGGCTGAGCTTGTTTTTGCCGGATCTTGGCTTTGGACTTCTCTTTTGTCGAAATAATTGACATCTTCCTTGAATTAGCTGCCTCTTCTTCTTCAAGACGAACAAAACCGTCAGCTCTCTTGTTCAGTTCGTCCATGGTCTTCGGCGTATTGACCACCAAGCTTGTGTGGAACGGTGTCCCCCGGTTCATTACAAGTTTAAATGCTTGGACCGCTATGGATGGATGACATTCCATTACCATGCTTTTAACAAGGTTGAACCGGGTGAGGAAAGCTTGGAGTCGTTCATCTTCGTGCTGCCTCATTGTGAAAAGGCTTGATACATCCTTAACCGGACGTTTATTCCCATAGTACTGGCTTATGAACTTGTCACACAAGTCCTGGAAACTAGCGATTGAGCCTTAAGCCAGATTCTTGAACCAATTGAGGGCTGGTCCAGCCAAACTTGTAGGGAAGCACTTGCACATCAAAGGATCGTTGTTAGTATTCAGAGCCATTTTCAGCTGAATGTGGTAGATGTGGTCGACCGCGTCGGTTGTTCCATCAAACAGAATAAAGATCGGCGTGGAAAACTTATTCGGATTCGGCATGTTTAGAATTTCATCAGTGAACGGAGATGCAACGGTCCTTGCTGATGAGCGCAATGCTTCGTTCTCCCTTAAAAACCGTGACGGAACTCCCCGATCGGCAGATTTCCTTTCTGAACTGTGGTAGTCAAATATTGCCATTGAAGGTCGATAGGGTGGATCAAATAATATGTCCTCTACAAACTCACTTTGCCATGGTGATGCAACCCTATGATCACACGCCGGTGCTTCCTCTCTCATGATCCGTTCGCGATGTGGCTCCAAATGAGTAGATCCTTCTCGATCTTCTACTTGACGGACATTCGGAGGTAGATCGTCTATTATAACTTCATCACGACGTGGATCAACACAATTAACACCTTCTGGATCACCTTGACGAACACCATGGGACGGTAAGACTCTGTCTCCTTCCGGAGGTGGCCTCGGAATTGTAGGAGCCTCACGACGCTCTATTCCAGCGTGCAACTCTGCATTTTCTTTCCTCAAGGCGTTGATCATGTTCATCAACTCATCGAGCTTCGTCTGTTGGCCATTTTTTAAAGGATTTGAGCTCTCCTCTCCGATCATCATTCCTGATCGGAGCAAAGTCATCAACCGCAGATTTCTTGATCAGATCGGAGCTTCGCTAACACGTACGCACCAGATCTGGACTCAAACTTGCTGAATTCTGTTCGCTACTAGCCGGATTAAGCAATCTCAACAAATCACAACTATGCAGCTCGCCGGATCAAGCACAGATCAGATCTGCGTGGATCGGACGCCAACCTTTCGAAATCAACTGGAACCAAGATTCACCAAGACAGATCGCATTTCCATCAATTTTGATTCAGCTTTTAGAGATTAATCGTCTTCTTCGCAGAGTGCTTTGAATCGAATCGATCTGGATCAACACCAATCAATCCTCTTTGTTCTTCTCACAGACGGTGCCAATTAAAAGTACAAAGAATTTTTCCCCAATTGTAGAGAGAGAAACTTTACACTCCCAATCATTTTCAACCTCTTTTCCCTCTCAATCCCCTCTATTTATAAACGGTTACAACCACTTAGACGGTTGTAACCATTCCTGGGCTGGACCTAACTGCTTCTCTTTTGTTTGGGCTCAACTTCTTTCATCATAACATGGGCTCCCGCAATGACTTCTTGGATTTGGGCCCATTTAGTGTGGACTTGCTCCATCCCGGCTATCCATACCCAACCCGTTCTTAGCAATACGAATCATACCAAGCCCAGATCATTTTTGGTGTCTTCAGTTACCATTTTTTGATCTGTTCACTATTGCAAATGCCACTACAAACTTCTCTTCCACAAATATGCTTGGAGAGGGTGGTCTTGGTCCTGTTTATAAGGTTAAATAAGTAATCTGTGGTTAGATATGTAATAAAAAAAAGTGAACCTCATCATTTTAACAATTATTTTCAAAAATTTGTAGGGTAAGCTAGCAACGGGACAAGAAATAGAAGTCAAGAGGCTTTTGAATAATTCCGGACAAGGTGTACAAGAGTTCAAAAATGAAGTTACTTTGATTTCCAAACTTCAACACTGGAATCTTGTTAGGCTGTTGGGGTGTTGCATTGAAGGAGAGGAGAGCAAGGGCAGAGCCAATTAAGGCCCAAAAGGGGCACGTGCCCCCCTCACTTTGCTCCAACCTACTATACATAGATACATATTTTTAGTATATATACACATACTTACATAGTAATTTTAAATAATGCCCCCCCTCAAATTTTCAAATTCTTTTAATTTCCTTTTGAAAAAAAAAAAAAAAAAATTACATATAGTCCTTCTTTGAATATACAATATATTTTTCCTTTTCTAATTTTTGTTTCCTTTTTCAAAAAAATTATTTTTTCACTTATGTATAATTATGTATTTTTCTATTTTTTAAAACTTATTTCATTTTATCGATGACATTTGTGATTGTATTTAATTAAAATATTATTAATTAATATTTTGATTCTTATATTTGTAACTATATTTTTTTTACGGTATTTATTTAGTATATTATTTTACAACTATTTTTTTCTTATTTGCTTTTTTTATTTTAAAAAATTATATTGTCATATTTATTAAAAAAAAAAAAAAAATTTTAACAAGTGCGTTGTGCCCCCTCTGAAATAAATTCCTGGCTCCGCCCCTGGAAGAGAGGATGCTAATATATGAGTTCTTACCGAACAAAAGCTTGGACTATTTCATTTTTGGTCTAGTTCTCTTGACCATTTATCTAATTGACCAATTTCATAGAGTAGTTTATGCATTTATGCAGTAGAGCAGTGCGTAGAGTCCACTGCTCTATTGTAAAAATGATAACTGATTTAAAACTTATATGGATGGAAATGTTGTGCATATCAAAATGGAAGACAAGAACTTCCATGGCAAAAGTGATTTGAAATTGTTTTGGGCATATCAAGGGGACTTTTCTACCTTCACCAGGACTCAAGATTAAGAATCATTCATAGGGATCTCAAAGCCAGTAACATTTTACTTGATGATGAACTCAATCCCAAAATTTCAGACTTAATCAAATACTAAATAATAGAAAAAAATTATCATAATTAACTCAAATATTCAAAAAAAAAAAAAAAAAATCATAAGGCATAGACAATGTTTATGGTGAAATGACTTAACTATCCATAATAATTGGGTTTATACTGGTAACATATTACATAGGTCATATTCACGATTATAACATGTTGAGTTAAATGGGTCATAAACGGATTACACGGGTTGAATCCCTCAGCCCTAACCTGACACGGTTAAGTAAATGGGTTAATCGTGTCGACCATTTTATGACCCAAACTTGTTTATGCCAAATCCAAACCCTTTTAACTCGTGTCGTGTTCATGTCGGGTTATCGTGTTGTGTTATAATTTGTCACCCCTAATCAAATGGCATGCTCTAAAGTGTGCCATTGTACTCCAACTAAGAAAGAGGTCACGTGAACCAAAATTGGAAGCAGCATATGGATCCAAGATAACACTGTTTTTGTATGAAAACCCAAAACTACATATATATATATATATATATATATATATATATATATATACACACACACACAAACATGAACTTTTCAGTCTAATTATGAACCCTCAATTATCCGTCTTCATACTAAATTTCAAATGAAGATGTAAGCCTGGAATTAATACAACTGTAAATAAACCATGGCAGTGAGAATTTGGTTATCTCATATAATGCTCTTGCTAGTAGGGGCGGCTCGAGCCTTAATAAACCATGGCAGTGAGAATTTTGTTTATGAGTTGTGACTATTTTTACCAATATTGTTTAGTTGAATATGTCTTCTAGAAAGTATGAATCCGGATTTGAAAAACTAAAAAAAAAAGAAAAAAAGAGAGTGAAGAATAGATAAACTAATTCAATCTCAAAAGGAAGCTATTGATAAATTTGTTACAACTAATAATCAAAACCTAACAAAAAGTTGATAAAATCATATCTATGATCAACTATGTCACAAGAAAGATTAAATAAATTGGTTATATTGTTTATTGAAAAAGATATTTTAACCACACTTACATATAAGAATTTAATTAGTAATTTTGCATTTAAAAAAGCAAGAAGGGTAATTTTTAATTAATTATTATTTAATACTTAATATATTACATATTATGCTATGAAAATGCCACTTTTTTTTTTTTTCGCCTAAGGCCTTGAGTTACATTGAGCCGTCCCCGCTTGCTAGCATGCTGAAACATAGAGTGAGAAAAATAATAATAATAATTGCTTGGCAATTTCTCCCCCTGCACATAAAAAAAAAAAAAAAATTGTGAGAGGTTGGTTTTCGGTAATTTATCCCGTTTCACAAAAAAAGAAAAAAAAAAATTTTTTTTTTGCAGAGATTGAGATTCTATACGCTTGACGTTGAATTTAGTCATGAGAGATTAGGTGGTGGTGACAACTGACATTAGTCTATTAAGTCAGTCAACCTTTGACCACTGGTTCATCTACCTCCCCAGTACTTGGTAAATTCAAGCAAAAGGCTTTAGTTTACAATAAATGACATTTGCGATGTTTTGCTTTTTGAGATTTTTTGTCTTATTTAAACAAATTTAATTATAACGGTAATTTGGTAAATGCAGAATGACATCGACCAGAAAGTAACAGACATTTAAATTTATGGGACAAGTTGTTCATTTTTGAAATTACATGAACGTACTTGCTCACTTTTATATCATAAGATGATATTTTACTCATTTGGTGAAATCAGGAGGGGTTTTCTTTTCTTAAAAATTTTGAGATTAATTTATCATAGATTGACTTGAATCATGATATCCCTATTTCCTTTTGCCATTTGTCGAACAATTTCTCCAATTTTTCTTTCCCTCTTTCGTCAATAATTTTCCTTTATAAAGAGTTTAACATAGTACTATTTCCTTATTTTTTAAAATAAAAGGTGAAAGGACTAAAAATGAACTAGGTCACACTCGGGCTGGTCCATCAAGCCTGAAGCACTATTGGGCCGTTAGGCCATGCATAGACCAATGCACCAAGCCCAGGGCGCCATCAAGACATTACCAGGCCCAATTTCACCAACATTATGAGCACACATCCTATTTAGCATGGCTCGAGGAGAAGACCCAGCCCGGAAGGACAACCAAGAGAAAAGTTTTAGGGCGAATGTAAACTTCTATAAGTGAAGTGAGAGAGAGAAGGAAACGGAGGTTGTTTGGAGTGTGAGAAAATTATTTCTTAATATAGAACTATATTTTCTTGCATCTTCATCTAGCGCCTTCTGTAAGAACTAAAGAAAGATCCATCGATTTCAGCAACGAATGTGATTTAAATAATTTTAATTCAAAATTCGTTGCTTATATATGATAATTATTTATGAAAATTATCTTCAAAAGTAAATGTAGCATGAAAATTACTTATAGAGTTGCTAGGTCAAATAATTTAAAATACTTAAAAAAATGCGTAATTCATGTATGTTTTTATATGGCATTTTGTTACATATAGTCTGGTGTGATTGAGACGTGTTTGAAAAAAATTATGAGCAGGTGATAAAAGGAAAAAAAAGGTTGAAATAATTAAGTCATTATAGAAAGAGAGTTGTGATTATCAAAATTGGAGACTAAATAGATACATAAACGTGACAGAATTTAAGTCTCCATAATTACACAATTCTTCTTCTAAATAAGTGTCTCACGGTAATCTTACTCCACCTCATTTGATTTAAATATTGTGACTTTCCGGCTTTGTATGACCTGGGACAAAACTTATGGACCAATAACTGTTATTTGACACTATCGTAAACGGACCGGAGGTCCGGAACGAATAAAGAAACTGAGATGATCAAACATAGCAGGCCCACCACATTGGGTTTGATTTCAGCGCCCACAAATCTGGAAATTCTAATGATAAGTGGCAAAACTGATTCTCAAATAATGTTTCTGTTGACAGCCAAAACATGGTCACAGTTTCCGAGAAAAATTGCCAATGGAGACCTTTCCTTTCTTTCCTCTTGTACTCACTAATCTCACTCTCATTCTTAGAACTCTCCGCTGCAGCTGATACATTAACTCCATACCAATCAATCACCAATGGTGAGAGTTTAGTATCCTCGGGCCAAAGCTTCAAACTAGGCTTCTTTTCTCCCAGTGGTTCCAAGAACCTGTTCTTGGGAATATGGTACTACAAGATTTCTCCACCAACTGTGGTGTGGGTAGCAAACAGAGAAAATCCGAATACAGATTCATATGGAAATTTAACTATCAACAACGATGGAAATCTCGTGCTCTTCAATGCCACAAAGGGTGTCATCTGGTCCTCAAATTCTTCAACAACTGTGCAAAATTCATCAGTTGCACAGCTACTGAATTCTGGAAACTTTGTCCTGAAAGAAAATACTGATGCTGATACAGTAAGTTGCTACATATGGCAAAGCTTTGATTTCCCATCAGACACACTTTTACCTGGCATGAAGTTGGGATGGAACTTAAAGACTGGCCTAAATAGACACTTGACATCATGGAGAGATGCCACTGACCCATCTCCTGGAGACTTCACTTTTGGAGTTAATATGACTGGGATGCCTCAGCTTGTTATTCAAAAGTGATCATCAGAGAAGATGTACCGCAGTGGGCCATGGAATGGAGTTCGATTGAAACCAAATGCAGTTAGTATACCGAGTTATACAGCCAATGCCCATGAGGTGTATTTTATGTATGAGTCTACCAATGACTCCTATATTGCAAGATCAATGCTGAATCAATTGGGTATGCTACTACAGCGGTTCATTCTGAGTGAAGGGAGCTCTGAATGGGTTGCTATGTATACAACACCGAATGCTCCGTGTGATGAATATGGACATTGTGGTGGCAATGGTATTTGCAGAGTTAACAATAGGCCAGTATGTGAGTGCTTGGATGTGTTCATTCCAAAATCACAGGAAGAATAGGACCTGTTTAATTGGTCCCGCGGATGCGTGAGGAGGACATCACTGGATTGCCAGAACGGAGAAGGATTTGTGAAACTCCAAAAGGTGAAATTGCCAGACCTGTTAGAGTTTCGGTTGAAGGGGAATTTGAGCCTTAATGAATGCGAGGCAGAGTGCTTGAAGAATTGTTATTGTATAGCTTATTCTAATGGAGGAGGCAGTGACTGTTTGATGTGGTTGGGCGATTTAGTTGATATTCGATACTTTGATGACAAAGACAACAAGCAAGATGTCTACATACGGATGCCAGCTTCGGAATTCAGTAAGCATACTTGTTGCTATTCTATATAATTGACATTCTGCTATTACTCTTTTAGATGTCAGTCCCTCAAATCCTTTTATCAATACTCAAAGCAGTTTGTTTGCTCAGATATTAGTACACAGGCTTCAATCTTCCTAGTAATTACGTCAGTTTCAATTATGATAATGGATCTTTATGATACCATGGAGGTCTTAAAATGAAATGTTTAGTATTCACGTCTAGAGTTTCCTTTATTTATGATTTTCTGAAGGCATGCCCAACAAATGAAGCTTTAGGACTAATAACAAAATTAACTTTGCCATAATCAGAAGGAGAAGACACTGGTGCTGATTGTAGTGGTATCAACAGCTTCCGGGATGGTTGTCCTCAGCTTGTTAACTTGGTTTGTATTTAAGATGAGGAGAAAGAAAATAAGTATACCACCTCCCCTCTCTGGTATGATTATTGATGCATTTTAAGGCAGTTATTGTCACTTGAATACTAGAAAATTTAGGCACCTGAATGAACATTTTATAAGGTTTCATTCCTTCTAAGTGTAGTAGATGGTTATTTGAATGATAACAGGTATCTAGTTCCATCTATACCATTTTTGATTGTGCAGGTGCGGAAACTCAGAATCAAGACATCGAGTTACCATCTTTTGATCTGCTCACTGTTGCAGATGCCACTAATAACTTCTCTTCCACAAATATGATCGGAAAGGGTGGTTTTGGTCCTGTTTATTAGGTTAAATAAGTAATCTTTGCTTTGATATGTAATAAAAAAAAGTGAACCCCACGATTTTAATGTTTCTATTCGAAAATTTGTAGGGTAAGCTTACAACAGGAGAAGAAATAGCAGTCAAGAGGCTTATGAATAATTCTGGACAAGGTCTACCGGAGTTCAAAAATGAAGTTATTTTGATATCCAAACTTCAACACTGGAATCTTGTTAGGCTGTTGGGCTGTTGCTTTGAAGGAGAAGAGAGGATGCTAATATATGAGTACATGCCGAACAAAAGCTTGGACTACTTCATTTTTGGTCTAGTTCTCTTGACCAATTCTCTTATTAGACCAATTTCATATTGCAGTTTATGAATTTATGCAGCAGAGTCCTCTGCTCTATTGTAAAAATGGTAACTGATTTTGAACTTGTATGGATGGAAATGTTGTGCAGTTTAGAATAGAAGACTAGAACTTCCGTGGCAAAAGCGATTTGAAATTGCTATGGGCATATCACAGGGAATTCTCTACCTTCACCAGGACTCAAGATTAAGAATCATTCATAGGGATCTCAAAGCCAGCAACATTTTACTAGATGATGAACTAAATCCCAAAATTTCAGACTTTGGGATTGCAAGAAGTTTTGGGAGAGATCAAATTGAAGCCAAAACAAATCGAGTAATTGGGACATAGTAAGTTTTGCAAACAAATGTCAGATACTTGTTCATCATTTTCTGATGCTTAAATTTGATAATTTTATGCAATGGTTACATGTCGCCGGAGTATGCCATTGATGGGAAATTTTCAGTAAAATCTGATGTTTTTAGTTTAGGTGTGCTTTTACTGGAGATAGTGAGTGGCAAGAAGAACATGAATTTTCATCATCCCGATCATTATCATTCGCTTTTGGGACATGTATGGTGAAATATATTTTATTTTATTTCTCTCTCTAGCTTCTTATTTGAGTTACTAAATTTGACGATTGTGATTGTTATAGGCTTGGTTGCTATGGAATGAACACAAAGCCCTGGAAATTGTGGATCCATGTTTGGAAAATTCATACATTGAATCTCAAATACTAAGATGTATTCAAGTTGGTCTACTATGTGTTCAGAAATTTCCAGAAGATAGACCAACCATGTCATCAGTAATTTTCATGTTGGGTAATGAAGGGATGAAATTACCTCAACCCAAACAACTTGGTTTCTTTGTGGAAAGAAGTTCCATTAATGCAAAGGAGAGATGCCATACTGAAAGTGGATTGACGATAACAATAATGGAAGGTAGATAGGAGATGCGTCTACTACATATTGTTGTATCGATAAAGTTGATGCATATCAAGAAATTGTTAGGTCAAGAAAAAAAGAAAAAGCAAAAAGATTGTAATACATATGTTCGGCTCACGGAGAAGCGCTGGTTCTGCTCTTTGGAATGTGTGGAATGTGGATACGATAGAATAGTGGGGGGTGCGGGCGTGCCAGGAACTGTAGTAGTTCCAAAGTGGAAATCCGAACAGTAATCCAGTTGGAAATTTGTAGGGATCAGGCGATTGTACGAATGTCTGGAATGATCACCTTCGAAGGGTCTTTTTTGCCTTTGAACAAGGACTTCAAACTATTTTATGGCTAATGGAAATGAAGACGGTATTGAAGGTGCAAGACTAGAAATTAAAGTAATTTAAAGTGCAGGACTGGAAATTTAGAGACATGGAAATGCAGTGCTAGGCTGGAAGTAACAAAGGAATGCTGGACTTAACTCAAGCGTTATGAGAATTTCATCGCATGGAATGAATGCTATAGAAGATAGCAAAGTGCTGAACTTAACTTAAAATGATGCACATTCATTGCTAGAATGGAAATACATGTACTAGCAAAGTGCTAAGTTTAGACATAGTGTAAACTCATTGTTGAAATGAGAGATACATGAAAGCAAATATGCTTATGTTGATGTGTTGTTTAGGCTGAGCAGGCTGGGTTTGTAAGTTAATCCTTAGTGCACTATTTATAGACTTCCTTGCATGCAGTAGCTGAGATGTGGTGACTGCAGCAAATTCCACTTGGCCTAGTCCGATGCTGCCAAGTGTCCATATTCTCAGCAGTTCCTTTTATTTCTGCCACCATCTTCTTCCTCCTTTCTTCTTGTTGTAGATTTCTTCTAAGGTTTCACTTGAACCATATCCCTTTTCTCTTCCATGAACTTATATCGTGGGTAGTTTTAGAGTGGGTCTTCCACTCGTCTTCTCCATAAATTAGCACATGCCCCATGTCTTCTTGTTCTCCTTTCTTCAAGCACGATTTTATTGGCCCTGTTATCCACATACTCCGACAACCACTTCAATTAGTGGTAGTAGTTGCATGCAAAACCACCACTTTCAACTGATGTACTCTGTTTAACCATTTGGTAATATTTCTGAATTTCGTCATTTTTTTCATTTTTCTGGAATTTTCCGTTTACGTAAGGACATTTTCGTCTTCTCTTGTTTTACATGCCACACACTGTGGGGTATGCCGGTTGTGTCCGAGAGTGGGTTGGGGCGTTTCATTGAGTTCGGGACTCTTTGAAATTCAAAAGTTGTCATTTTGGCATTTTTCAATTTTTCGGACCGGAAAGTCCCGCGTGGGATCCACTACCGGAATTGTTGTGTACGGGGGTTATGGTTGGGTCCATTTGCATGATATGCATTTTATTTAATGTGTTTTATGTGGTTATAATATAGTTATGTGCATATAATTATTTGTGGAGGAAATAAAATAAAAAGGAAGATATTTTAATTTGGAGGGACCCTCCACCACTTTTCCTTCTTTTAAATGGTCAAGAGACCATTATTGGTCTCAAGTTTCTTTCTCTATCTCATGCCTTCTCTCTTTCTCTCCTCCTATTTTTCTTTTCTCTTTTGTGCAAGCTTTAAATCTCGATTTCTCTCAAACCGTTGGGAGATTTTTGATGCCGTTTATGGTAAATTGAAGAACACGACGAGATCTACGTTTTGATTGGAGCCAACGTTCATTTGGCCACCATTTTGGGGATCTCAAAATTCTTGGGTTTGAGGTGAATTTGGGGCTTTTCTTCAAATTAGAGGTAGGGGTCTCTAATACACGATTCTTCTTTTACTTTTGTGAATTTAATTCTTATAACTTGTTGAATTGCATGTTTAATTAGTATAAGTTCTTGGAAATTGTTTAAATGCCTTGTATGAAATTGTGAAAATGTGTTATTTGATATTTTGTGCTTAAACATGCTTATTTGAAATGAAATTTTGTGATTTACATGCTTAATATGTTAGAAAAATGTGAGATGGAAACATGATTTGTGTATCTTGGTGATTTAATTATAAAAGCATATGTAAACTCTTGTAGTTGAATTGATGAATGAAGTATGAAACATTCATGTATCCATTGGGAAAGAAAAAGAGGGAAAAATGTTTTAAAACAAATGAAATTGTTTTTGGGAAAATATATTCAAAGGCGTTTGCGAAAACCGGACGCCTATGAGGCGTCTAGTGGTCCGTGTTGTTAGTGTAATCTAGAAGGGAGTATAGTTGAGGTAACTAGGCCGGATGCGACGCCTTGGAGGTGTCTTGTGGTCGTGGATAGTTAGTCAACCCTCCATTCGTGATGCCTTGGAGGTGCCTTGGGTCGGATTACACTTACGGTTTGGAAGTTGAAGTGAAAATGTTTCGGATATGGGGATCGACATTTGCATAACATTGCACTTCATTAGACCATATGGTGTGTATGTGTTTGGATGACAATTGTTATATACTTGTTGTTGTAGTTGTTGCCATGTAATCCCTATGTCATGATCTCATTTTCTCTTTTACCTATTTCTTATGTGAATTCACGGGGTCATAAGAAGTGTGTCTTAAGCACCACATACTGAGTTTAGGCTTACCCTGTTTTTATTTAACATTTTCAGGGCTAGGAAAAGAAGTAGTGGATGCTGACCCATTATAAGCTTGAAGAAGAATAAAAGTTTATATTTTGTAATCTTTTGTATTTAGCCTATTCTTTTGTAAAGTTGTAACCTATGAAATGTAATTGTATTGTAATGTGACTATAATATTTTGACAACACTAGATGTATATTTGGAACTATGAGAACATGTGGAGGTGAATGGGCAATGGAGTTATGTTTTGATTAATTATAGATGTCTTTCAATTATATTATATCATGTTCTTTTGCCGTGAATTCGGAAATTTGACTGCATAACAGGTCCGGTATGGGTTTGGTTTGTAATAAACACAGTCAGGAACCATTCCAGGGAGTTGGAGTATGAGAAGCCTTGTTTCAGTTGGCTGATCCTCATCATCAGCCGATCGAAACCCCAAGTTCGGCTGACCGAACCCCCTTCATCAGCCGACCGATAGGCTATTTTGAAAAGTCCCGAAAGCATGTAAGTTTCACAACCGTTTTAGCCGACCGACCCTGTAGGTCAGTCGATCGATCCTGCCTTGTCAGCCAGCTGACTAAGGGCTATCAGCCGGCTGACCCTCCCTTTTTGGACCCGCACATTGACTATCTTTGTATGGTTTACATTTGGTGTATTTTGAACCCTTAGACCAATTCGTGTATCAAGTATTGACGTAGGAAATGACGGTGTTGTGCTTAGTTGACCTCGGGTTTGGGCAAGGACCCGGTTGGCTATTCAGATCCCCGGGTTCGGGTCGTTACACATTTATCCTACAGTCTTTAAAATCTTTCCTTCTGCAGAATCCTTCGTTCTATATAACTTCTATATATATAATGCATGTATATAGAAATTATACATACATCCACATTCCCTCGGCTTTAAGTAACCTCTTCCAGCTGGACTTCCTTTCTTTCATGGCATCGTGTCCAAAATTAACCACTTCTCCTCATTGTGAGTGTGCACATACGTATGAATATATACACATCCACAATGCAAATCATCACCCATACTCCATTTCCTTTGCGACATTTTTTTTTTCCTAATTGGTACTCACACACATATGTCTCTTCTGAGACTCGAACCTCGGACCTCCCTTTGCGACTTCAGACTCCACGATGCCATGAACTCCTAAATTTCAGCATTCTTCTTAACGTGGATCGGCGTCCATAACTCCTGTAGCTTCTTTTCTTGAAACTTCCCTTCCATGTTTAGAGTTTATGGCATCGTGGCCCCCAAAATTATAACAACTCCTTTATCCCATCATGGGCTGTATAATATATATATATATATATATATATATATATATATATATATATATATATTTGGGGAATATATTTAATATTTCTGGAAACAACACCCCACTTCCTCGTTGCTTGATTTAGTTAGACGTAGTAGTTGAGAACCCCTTAGATTTTAGGAGAAAATCCAGCCTTACGTCCTGCTTAGTCAACCTTGATTTCATAATTAAATGGAAAATGTCCATTTAATTGTTTTCCTATAAGAATAGGACTTCCCATTAATAAAATCAACTCTTAAAAGAATTAATCTACCGTGGCAAGTTCAATAGAACTCGCCACGTGTTAATAAACCATTAGTTGGTTGATGAATACTCTTATGAGGTTGCACTCATGATAGTGACTCCATGCCACCTTCCTATACTTTTTAGAACATTATATCCAAAGTTGGTAAGTCCTAATAGGACTCGCCACTTTCTTTCAATTAACAATTCCCCTTGGTTTTGATATTCCAAAGGAAATTTGTCAGAGTTACGCTCCGGCGTGACAAGTTCCATTGGAACTCGCCATGTACCTCTTCTCTATTGGTAGATTATATCAATAATTCCATGTCACACCTTCTTCTTTTGGATAATTAGAGTATTAATCCAATATGGCAAGCTTGTTAAAACTCGCCATGTGTCATCTTTCCATTGAGCAAAAATAATGGAGTAAACATATGGCCCCCAAATTCCATGCCGCGTGGAACAATTTGATGACAAGGCATGGGATTTGAACTTTTGCCATCACGGCCCACTTAATCTTTAATGTAACCATCACTATCATCCAACCTTTAACGTTTCATACAACTGGCTTCTTGGTTCCACCCACATCAATCTCTTTTGCCGCCAATCATAAAAAATACCATATCTCAAAAGATCTTATCCATTTATGACATCCCAAAAAATCGCACTACTTCATTCTTTTGAATTTCAAAATTCCAACTAAACCCCCTCTAAATACGTCCTTAGACACTTGGAAACTAAAGATAATCATTAAAAGGAAAGCTTCTATGTAACACGTGGTTGCTCCCTCGGCTTCCTCTGTAACAATCTCATTAATTCCGTATTTTATCAGGAGTCCTATCCATTTATCGCACTAAAACTGTCATACTTCCAATCCTTGTTATTTCTTTTTTTTGAATTTTGAAATTCTTCAACTACCCAACCTTAAAAGGCGTCCTTGGACTTTGGAAACTCAACATAATCATTAGAAGATCTCCTGCAGGTTATTCGGCTGGTCTCTTGACTTTCTCTATGCCACCCTTTCTTACTGCCAAACAAAAAACATATTTCGTGTTCCCTAAAACCTCTTATCCACTTATAGCCTTACACCATTCAACTTCCAAAATCCTTAAAACTTCCTTTTTAAATTTTGAAAACCCCAACCACCAATCCTAGAAAAGCATATCTGAACTTTAATACCCCCCTCATTGTTCCTATATGTATACCTTCCATCCTCATCACTTAACCACAAAAAACCTTTTCTTCTCTCTTCTACTTTCTTCCTCTCCACCCAGAAACCCTAAAGGAAAAGAAATCTTAATCTGCGAGAATCACGAACTATGGCTCCTAAGAAACCCTCCAAACAAACCACTAGCTCATTTCTGCAAGCCCCTTCTGTTCAAACCAAAGAGAAAACTCGAAGCCATAGCCACCATGTTCAAATGCTTTTGAAGTTTTTAATTTTGCTAGACTTTATCTTGAGCCTTTGGTTTATTTCAAAGATTCTTCAATTGGACTGGCCCAACTTTCACCGACGTAGCCCCTTCTGAATTGGCCGAATTCTACCCTTCCTGTAAGTCTTCTCTCCCATTGGAGTCAGAATTTCCTCTTATCTCAAAGAAAGGGAAAAAGGTGAAACCCTCATTCAACATAAAAAATTGGCCAACATATCGTTCATCTTGGTCTTCTTGGATAAGTCGCCTTTCCAAAGATGAAAAGATTTCTTCATAATGGAAAAGGCAAGGCATATTTGACATCATTCAAGTCAGTAAGTCTTTCATTATGCTTGATCCGAACCTCCTCTTTCTAGTTCTCTTCTTTTGGTTTTCGACCACTAATTCCCTTCACCTTAAATGTGGCATGATGTCTCCCACTCTAAGGGATATTTGTTGCATTACAGGTCTGAAGCCCCATGGAGATGATGTAAGTGCCACCCTCTACATTGATCAATTCCTTTTCCCTACTAAAAACACTGGAAGTAAGAAATTCATCTCTTCCCACCTTATTTTTATCAAACATTGTAAGAAAATGGCACCAGTTCAAGAAAAAGAACACATTGCTTTCCTGATCTGTTGGCTTTCTGGCCATTTATTGTGTGTTCCATCTGGTCAAGTCACAAAAGACTTTGTTCAAGTGGCAATCTTATTAGCCAGAAATTGAGATTTAGCCCTGGCTCCTCTTGTGCTTTCTCATTTATACAGAGGCTTGAATGACTTGCTTGCTTCAAAATTCTCAAGGTTCCAAGGCCCCTTCTGGTTATTCCAGGTGTGGCTTAAGGTGTATTTCCAAAGTAGAACTTTACCTCTAGCCATTCAAACTAGAAAATCCCTCATTTGTTACTCTCTGGCAACAATGGACCCTTCTCCTTTCAGCGTTGCTGAAAATTTTGAATATTTCTACAATTAATGTGAGGCTGGTGATAATGGATTCTTTGACCCATTTACCTCCCTTAACTGCATGCCATCATGGTTGGTTCCATCCCCTAGAGTGTCTACCAAAAAACATTTTGAAGAGTGGAAAAATATTTAGGCTAGCTTTCTTCTTGCCCGTGATCTTCATTATAACATTGCCCAACCCACTCTAAAGAATAGCTTCTGCGGCGTTGAATTCTACAATTTAGCCCAACTGGATAGGCAAATGGGTTTTACACAAATGATTCCTCTGCTACCTTACAAGTCCTATAACAAGTTCTTTGACCAACGAGTAAGACTTACAGATGCTGAGCAATTTGTAACAATTGACAAAGATTATGTAGCGGAAAGGGCAATTTTTAACTTCCAAGGCCATACTAATAAGCCTCGGTCGATTAGTGAATTTGATGTATGGTGGTCAGCTTATATTTCTTCCACCTGGACAAAAAATCACAAGGTTATTTGTGATTCCATATTAGCTTCCTTCAAGCCCTTATCTCCAGGTACAAATATATTTTTTGCAAATTTTCCTTTCTATTTTAAAATCTGTCAATCTTCCATATACTGAAAATTAATCTGATAAATTCTAGATGAAGAAGAAGAAATACTCAAGGAGAGTGAGGAGGATGAAGGTGGAGAAAAGATTACTGCAATGCCCAACAAAATTGAAGGGGTGGCCGAAAGTAGAGATGTAAGCATTAAAAGTATTTCCTCAAGTGACGATGAAGAAGAAAAAGAACTCGAAGAAGAAAATATAGAACCACCAGAAGAAGAAGAAGATACTTTGTATAAAGCAAAAGGAAAAGGAAAAAATTCTCAGGTATTTTCAATGTGGTTGGACTTAATTTTCTATATTATGGACCTTACTTATATTTCCTTTCGCAGGGACCAACTATTGTCAAGAAAGAATTTTAACTCCAGCTTTTTTCTTCCGATGAAGATTCCTCTGATGAAGAGATTGGTATTTCCAAAGGGTAAACCACTACTCAACTGTAATGTTTCCAATTTTTACCATTTTTCATTTTCTAGAATTTTTTTATTTTTTGAAGGCATTTTCATCTTTTCACGTGTTGCGTGCCGGACACCGTGGAGTGTGCTGGGAGTGTTAGAGAGTTATTTGGGGCATTTTGTTGAGTTCAGGACTCTTTAAAATGCAAGGTTGTCATTTTTGCATTTTTTCATTTTTCGGGCTGGACGGTCCCATGTGGAACTCGCTACCATAATTGTTGCATACGAAAATTTTAAATGGGTCCATTTGCATCTCATATATTTTATTTAATGTGTTTATATGGGTTTTATATGGTTGTGTGCATGTATATAAT